GCGACCCCCTCGCACGCCCCCGCGGGCGGGGAGGCCGAGGACCGAGGGGCGGAGGCCCCGCCAGCCGCTGAGGCCCGCTTGAGCCAGGGCGGCTTGAGCCAGAGGTTTGAGCCAAGGCTACGGCACAGCTGGTGGGGATACGCGAAGCGTCAACAATATCAGTTTTTCTTATTGGGAATCGACGATGTTTGCTTATTGGGGTCTCTAGTGGGGTGCATCTTGGGAGCCTCCTGGGGGTCTCTTGGGGACCTCTTGGGGCCTCTGGGGGGGCCTCTGGGGGCCTCCTGGGGACCTCTTGGGGCCTCCTGGGAGCCTCTGGGGCCGAAAGCTCGAAATTTGAATCTGGTTGTGCACCTCTGGGGCCCCTCTGGGGCTCGTTCTGGAGCTCTCTTGGGCTGTTTTGGGAGCCTCTCGGGCCGTTTTGGGGCCCTCTTGGGGTCGTCTCGGAGCCCTCTTGGGAGCCTGTGGGGCAGTCTTGGGTGCCTCTTGGGCCGTCTTGGACGCAGTGGAAGCCCAAAAGGCGAACACGCCAAAATTACGCTACCGAGGAACCCCACATATTTATATTATAGCTATAGTGATGATAGCTGACGTGAAGCATGTGAGAATGATGTTGGTGGCCGTTGCCCCGATACCGTTGCATGTCGAGAAAGTGCCACGACTGTCGAGCCGTCAAAAATAAGCGCGTAGAGAGACCACGTTGAGGGACCACCCCCTGCCACCTCCTCTGGTGTCGAGAAAATGCCACGCCTGATAGGCCCTGCGACATTGGCGCGTATGGAGACCGCGCTGAGGGCCGCACCCCCTCTGGTGCGGAGAACATACCACGCCTGCTAAGCCTTGCGACAATGGCGCGTATAGACACCGCGCTGAGGGACCACCCCCTGCGCACCCCCTCCGGCGACGAGAAAGTGCCACGCCTGATAGGCCCTGCGACATTGGCGCTCAAAGAGGCCACGCTGAGGGACCACCCCCTGGGCACCCCCTCTGGTGTCGAGAAAATGCCACGCCTGCTAGGCACTGCAACATTGGCGCGTATAGAGACCGCGCTGAGGGACCACCCCTTGCGCACCCCCTCTGGTGTCGAGAAAGTGCCACGCCTGCTAGGCCCTGCGACATTGGCGCGTATAGAGACCGTGCTGAGGGACCACCCCCTGCGCACCCCCTCTGGTGTCGAGAAAATGCCACGCCTGATAGGCCCTGCGACATTGGCGCGTATAGAGACCGCGCTGAGGGACCACCCCCTGCGCACCCCCTCTGGTGTCGACAAAGTGCCACGCCTGCTAAGCCCTGCGACATTGGCGCGTATAGACACCGCGCTAAGGGACCACCCCGTGCGCACCCCCTCCGGCGTCGAGAAAGTGCCACGCCTGCTAGGCCCTGCGACATTGGCGCGTATAGACACCGCGCTGAGGGACCACCCCCTGCGCACCCCCTCCTGCGACGAGAAAGTGCCACGCCTGATAGGCCCTGCGACATTGGCGCGTATAGAGGCCACGCTGAGGGACCACCCACTGCGCACCCCCTCTGGTGTCGAGAAAGTGCCACGCCTGCTAGGCCCTGCGACATTGGCGCTCAAAAAGGCCACGCTGAGGGACCACCCCCTGCGCACCCCCTCTGGTGTCGAGAAAGTGCCACGCCTGCTAGGCCTGCAACATTGGCGCGTATAGAGACCGCGCTGAGGGACCACCCCTTGCGCACCCCCTCTGGTGTCGAGAAAGTGCCACGCCTGCTAGGCCCTGCGACATTGGCGCGTATAGACACCGCGCTGAGGGACCACCCCCTGCGCACCCCCTCTGGTGTCGAGAAAATGCCACGCCTGCTAGGCCCTGCGACATTGGCGCGTATATAGAGACCGCGCTGAGGGACCACCCCCTGCGCACCCCCTCTGGTGTCGAGAAAGTGCCACGCCTGCTAAGCCTTGCGACATTGGCGCGTATCTGCACCGCGCTGAGGGACCACCCTCTGCGCACCCCCTGTGGCGTCGAGAAAATGCCACTCCTGCCACGATCTGCGAGCGTGTCACGGATAGGGGCCGCGCTGAGGGACCACCCTCTACGCACCCCCTGTGGTGTCGAGAAAGTGCTACTCCTGCTACGATCTGCCTGTGTTGTCTGTGCTGCGGTGTGCTGTGCTGTGCTGTGCTGTGCTGTGCTGTGCTGTGCTGAGCTGAGCTGAGCTGAGCTGAGCTGAACTGTGCTGAGCAGTGCTGTGCTGTGCTGTGCTGTGTGCGTGAGGAGGAGGAGGAGGTGGAGAAGGGGAGGAGGGCGGGTGTGTGTGTGTGTGTGAGACGCGGGTGCGGCGCGGGTGGGAAGAGAGGAGGAGGAGGAGGAGGAGGAGCTGCGTCGCGGGCGCGGCGCGGCAGAGAAGAGAAGAGGCCCCCTATGAGACCCGACAAAGACATCCAAAGAGGCCCCGAAGACGCCCCAAGAGCGGCCGGGCCTCCCGTCGGCGGCCATCTGGCGGGGCGCCCCTCTCGTGGGGCCGGCGTGCTCCCCCGCAACCCGCCGCACCTCGGCCCTGCCGACCTCCTGCGGCCGATCGGGGGCGCGCAAGCATGGACTGGCAGTCCGTGGATCTGGGCGCGCGGTCGCCGGATCCACGGATCGGGGGAGGCGCCCTCCCCCGAGGTGCGGCCGGTGCCGCCCCGCTCGGCGGCGGGAAAATCCCGCGGTGTCCCATGGAAGCGGGGCCCGTCGCCCATCCACGCCCCCTGGATCCATGCCTGCGGTCGCCTGCTTCCCTCCGTCCCCGCGTCCCTCGCATCCCTGCCCTGCCGACCTCCGGCGGCTGATCCTCCTCCTTCCCCCCTCGCTCCTCCCCCCGGGGCGTCGCCGGCCAGACGGCGCTGGGCGCGGGGCGACGAGGACGAGCAGAGGAGCAGAGAGGGGCTGCGGAGGAGGTGGCGAGCACGGTCGTCGAATCCAGGGCGCGCGACGGGAAGCCGAGCTCAGAGCTTCCGAAAGAGCCCTTCCCTGGAGACTTGGAAATGGGCACCTGCACAGGAACAGAGGGGCGCGTGCCTCGGTGGAAGATAATCCCTGGTTTCGGTGTTGGTGGTAACCTTCCGGCCACTTAGAAAGCCCGAGTACTACCACCATCATCGAGGTCGGGATGATCTTCCCTCGGTGGAGGTACTCCGCTGGTATTGGTATTGGTGTCGGTGCCAACCTCTAGGCCTCCGACTCCCCTTCGCTCGGTCCTGTCTCCATCTTGTCCTTGCGGGCGACTCGCCAAAGCCCCTGTAGACAAAAGCAAGAGGGCGCCTCTCCTCTCATGGCGCTTCACAAAGGGGGGGCTCTCTCTGCACCTCGGCAGCGGACGACGCCCCAGGCCCAGACCCCCGTTGAAGATCCAGAAGACCTGCGCTGCCCACAGGAGCTCTTCGACTCTTCGGTGTACTTATGTTGGCGGCGCGCACAGGGGGGGAGGGGGGACGGGGGAAGACTTCTTACACGGCGAAAGACGGGTGCCAACGGTGCGCACGAGCATCCGTAGCCGTGCGCGTGCCCGGCCATATCTTTGATGATGACGCGTGGCAGTAGGCTCCGAGAAATCGCGGGCGCAGGATGTCCTGGCCTGGCGCCGAGCAGAAGAGGGCATGAACCCATTCCTGGTGTTGTGGAGGCTGACGCTGTGTCGACAATCTCATATGAACTTTCGAATCAGAAAATTACCGTGATCGCCCGACTGGTCGGGAACCGACCTATGCCAGCTGCGGCCACAGAGGCGAGTGAACGGAGGTTGGAACCTCGACAACTAGTCTAATGCGAAAGACGGATGCCAGCGGTGCACACGAGCATCCGTAGCCGTACGCGTGCCCGGCCATATCTTTGATGATGACGCGTGGCAATAGGCTCTGGTGAAACGGCACTGGCGCGGGCGCAGCATGTCCTGGCCTGGAGTCGATCAACATAAATCTTGGCGGGCGTGAACCCACTCCCATTGCTGCGGAGAATGACGCTGCATCGACAACCTGACGACGCCGATTCTCAGGTTACTATAATATCTTTGCTCGTGACTGCCCGACTGGTCGGGAACCAACCTATGCCCACTGCGGCCACAGAGGCGAGTGAACTGCGGATGGAACCTCGCCGACTATAAACGGATGCGAAAGGCGGGAGCCGACGGAATGCAGTAGCATCCGTAGCAGTACACGTGCCCGGTCACATCTCTGATGATGGTCCAGAGGACCCACAGTGCATGAGTTGTGCAAAGCCTTGGTTGTCACTGTTCACATGTTTTCACAATTGAAATATGCACGGTTCCGGGCTCCTCCTCCTCCTCCTCCTCCTCCTCCGCTCGTCCGCCTCCTGCTCGTCCGTCCTCCTGCTGGGGCCCGCTGGGCCAGACGCGGCTGGCACTCGGGCACACGAGCCGCCGCCTGGGAACAGGGAGAGCAGCAGCCGCGCACGGTCGTCGCACACAGCGACGACGAGGGAGAGGGGGTCAGACACTCGCCACCACCGAGGCTACACAAGCAGACAACGGGCCCAGAGCTTGCCATACATCGGCTGCAGGGCAGGCAGGGGCGCCGTCTTCACCAGGGCCTGGCCTAAGGCGGGACTGTGGGTGCCTGGCGGTGGTGGATTGCTGTTCCTCCCCCTGGGCACTCATGAAGCTGGGGCCGACGCAAGGGTTGTCGGCCGTCGCGCCAAGCAGCGCCACGAGCCGCAACCCGACGAGTCGGCGGAAAACACTCCGTGCACCTTGCCTGGCAGGATCCGCGCCTCGGTGCGCAAGGCTGCTGGCCACCTCACCAAGCCGCGCCGCAGACAGCAGCCCGCGCACACACGGGGGAGGAGGCAATCATCTTGGCGGATGGGAAAAAGAACGTGGTGGCACCCACGCGCACCGACGCAGCCGCCACACAGCCACAGCTGGCCTGGCGCAAACCTGGGCGGCCGTTGTGTCGGCCCCTGGCTGCTATGAGGCCGCACTCGAACTGCGTCTGTGCCGCATACGCGGGTGTCGCTTTTCGCCTCCCTCTCCTCCTTTTCGCCCTCTTGTTGAGTCTGTCAAGTCAGGCACAGCACGCCATGCCTGGCACAACATGCCCATAGGGAACCAGTTCAGAGTTAGACTCGAACTCCTTTAAAAAAATCCAGTACAAACACAGCTGGCCTGGCGCAGCCATGAGCGGCCGTTGTGTTGGCCACCGGCTGCTGTGAGACTACACTCGAGCTGTGGTTGTTCCGAAGACGCGGCCGTTGCGCTCCGCCGCCTCCTCCTCGCCCTCGCCCTCCTCCTCCCCTTCCCCCTCTCGGGCCCATGCGACCATAGATTAAGGTCCCGGTGGCACGCGGGCGCCAGATCCAGGATCGGGCAAGCGGTCCCCAGCGCTGCCCGATGTGGCGACGGAGCGAGCCGATTCTGTACGTAAGCGGGGCCCGTTGCTTATCCACTCGCCTTGATCAATGTCTGCGTTTTTCGATCCTCCTCCTCGTCCTCCTGCTGAGCATGTGATTTGCGCAAGCGCACAGGCTCGCCAGCTCTCGGCGGCCTGGCATCACGAGGAGCTCCAGGGGGCCCGCGGAGGGCCAAGGAGGGCCCAAAGCCCAGTCCAAGACGGCCCGGGACCCCGCAACCTGTCCTGGAACCCAATGCGCGCCAATATTTTCGCTGGCGCATCTGCGCGGGCTCAACGGCTCTCGGCGGCCTGGCATAACGAGGATGACCTCCGGAGAGACCACGGAGAAGCCAGACGGGCTCGACGGCTGTCGGCGGCATGGCGTCATGAGGAGGAGCTCCAGGGAGCCCGTGGAGGGCCAAAGAGGGCCCGAAGCCCACGCCAAGACAGCCCAGGACCCCGCAACCTGCCCCAGAACCAAATGCGCGCCAAAATGTTCATTGGCGCAACTGCGCGGGCTCGACGGCTGTCGGCGGCCTGGCATCATGAGGAGGAGCTCCAGAGAGCCCGTGGAGGGTCAAAGAGGGCCCGAAGCCCACGCCGGAACGGCCCAGGATCCCGCAAGCTGCCCCAAAACGCCACGCGCACCAAGACTTCCATTGGCACATCTGCGCAGGCTCGACGGCTGCTGGCGGCCTGGCATCATGAGGAGCCCCACGGAACCCGTGGAGGACCATAGAGGGCCCGAAACCCACTCCGAAACGGCCCAGGACCCCGCAACCTGCCCCAGAACCCCCAAGGCGCGCCAAGATTCATCGGCGCAAGTGCTCGGGCCCGACGGCTCTCGGGAGCCGGGCACCGTTGAGGCGGAGCTCCAGGGGGCCCACTCCCAAACAGCCCGACGCCCACTTCAAGACAGCCCAGGACCCCGCAACCTGCCACCAGAACCCGATGCGCACCAGGACTTTCATTGGCGCAACCGCGCGGGCTCGACGGCTGCTGGCGGCCTGGCATCATGAGCCCCACGGAACCCGTGGAGGACCAAAGAGGGCCCGAAACCCACGCCGAAACGGCCCAGGACCCCGCAACCTGCCCCAGAACCCCCATGCGCGCCAAGATTCTCATTGGCGCAACTGCTCGGGCCCGACGGCTCTCGGCAGTCTTGCATAGGGAGAAGCTCTGGAGAGACCGTGGAGGGCCCACGACGGCCCGAAGCCCTCGACCGTGCGCGCGCCGAGACGCTCCAAGACGGCCCACGACTGTGCGCGCACAGGGGAAGGCTGATCGTGCTGCTGCTGCTGCTACTGCTGCTGCTCCACGCTGGTCGTGCTGCCTCGAAGCCTCCCCCGATATCAAGATATCAAGATATCAAGATATCGAGATATCGAGTCCCCGCCCGGCCCCGCCCCCGATATCGAGATATCGATATATGGGGATATCGAGATATCAAGTCCCCGCCCGGCCCCGCCCCCCGATATCGAGATATCGAGATATCGAGATATCGAGATATCGAGATATCGAGATATCGAGATATCGAGATGACGAGTCAACACCCACGCCCCCCCTCGATATCGAGACATCGATATATCGATATATCGAGTCCTCGCCTGGACCCGCCCCCGATATCGAGATATCGAGATATCGAGTTCCCGCCCAGCTCCGCCCCCGAGTCCTCCCGACCCTCGCCAGGACGCCTTGCGACCACAATGCTCATCGCTGTCGCTCAAGCGCGGGCGACGAGCTGTGGGGTCCACAGCTCATCGTCCTCGACTGTATCCTGCATGAGACTCAGGTACGGCTTGGACCAGTTCTGCAGCGAGCGGCGCTTCCCGCCCTGCTTGATGACCCCCCAGACGTCGAGGTGGTACCTGCCCGACGCACGCATGCCATCCATGAAGGCAACCGCCCTCGCCCGGCTCATGTTGCCCCCCCGGGCGATGGCGAGAACCAGCGCCTGGTGAGCGTCGTCGGCCATGCGCCTGTCGCCGCAGACGTAGTAGTGGCAATCGGGACTCTGGATCAGCTCCCATACCTCCTGCGCCGACTGGCGGAGCCCGTCGGTGACTAGGCGCTTCTCCACGCCTGGCTCCCTGGACAGGGACACGTCGTATGTCGTCAGCGCCGACACTTCGAGCGCCTCCTTGAACAGGCTGGCGTGAAGGGTCTCCGCGCTGCACCGATGGCCGGCGAAGAGCTGGGCCTTGCCGCACTGCCCGGCCGCGCCCTTCTGCGCGTGGTGAATGCGCTCCCGGACAAAGCCGGCGAAGGGCGCGACGCCCGTGCCGGCGCCGACCATGATCATAGGCGCCTCTGGCGACTTTGGCAGGTCGAAAGACGAGGCGAGCGCGGACACCCACACAGGGCTGCCCACCTGCAGCGAGTGTAGATAGCCGGAGGCCAGCCCGCGGCTGCTGCCAACGCAGACGAGGCCCACGCAAAGCTCGACCACGCTGGGGCTGACCAGGTTGCTGCTCGCGATGGAGTACAGCCTCGGGAACTGCAAGGGCAGCGCGCCGAAGAGGGCGCCGAGCGTGATCTTGCCCTTCGCCCGCGGGAAGGCGCGTAGGAGGCTTGACAACCACCAGAACTGCTCCGCGACCGTCTCGCTGTCCTGCTGCATGAGCTCATGATGCTCCTCTGCGGTCATGCCGCCGGCATCCCGCACCATGCCCAGAATGCGCGGCAGGCTCGCCGGGCGGACAGTGATGTTCAGGTGCCACTGCAGCGCGTCGTACAGCGTCGTCGGCTGGAACCCCAGCTCGGCCGGATACTGATCCTCCCCCTCCACCATGGTGGCCTCGAGCCTCGCATGCAGCCTCTCCTCTTCGATGCCCAGCTCCAGCGCGAGCCTCACGATCTCGTCGTGCGGGTTACGGGGCAGAACGCTGAGGTGACCGCCGGTGCGGTAGCTCATGCCATCGCAGCGCGAGATGTCGATGCGGATGCGCCGCGTAGACCGCCACTCCGAAGTGTTTGCCAGCAACGGCGTGGGCTCCACCACCTCCGCCCGCTTGTGGGCCCTCACCTCGCCAGGCTCAGAGGCCTCCGCAATGCCAACGCGCGGCTCCCCCAGCCTGACGGCGAGGCAGGACTCGACCGTGCCCGCCAGCGCCTGGCGCGGCTCTAGCTCGAAGCGAAGGGAGCGCAGGAACTTCTGGAAATCCGCCCCTTGGTCCTTGCACTCGTCCGCCAGCACCGTGGGGACGAAGCACGTGGCCCCCGCTGCATCCAGCGTCTTGCTCACCTTCTTGCCGAAGGCGCAGAAGCCAGGGTACATGGTGCTGCCCAACGCCATCACTGCGCACCTGATTGGCTGCCCGGTGTTCTTGCTCACCAGCGGGAAAGGCAGGGCGTCCGGGAAGGCGGAGCCGTTATGTGGGGCGGCGCCGTCGTTGAAGGTCGCGATGAAGCAGACGATGTGGGTGAACCTCTGGACCAACTTCTCGTCCATAGCGTTTAACTCCATGACCCGCGGCCCGTAGGCCAAGCCGAGCTCCTTGGCCATGTTTCTGGCAAACTGCTCCGCGGTGCCGGTGGTGCTGGCGTAGAGAATCAAAACCTTGCGGGGGTCGTCCTGGAGGGGGCGGTCCCGGAGAGACGTGTGGCTCTTGGTCAGCTTGGGGCCCTCCAGGCCCGACGCGTCCTCCACCACCCACCTGTCGCAGTGGTAGTGGAACTGTGGGCGGAGGTAGAAGTCGCGCATCTCGTAATGCCATGCTGGGCAATGCACGCCGAGGAAGCCTCCGATCCAGCTCCACTGCGCGGGCACCTCTCGCCCGCACTGCTTCTCCGTCCACGTGGGTCAAGAACTGCTGGGAGCAAGTGTAGTGGTCCACGATGCTGAACCGCGACTTCTGGAACGAGTGGGTCACCGCGGCGCTCATCTTCTGCAGAACCATGGCGCGCCAGCCAGAGGAATTCGAGCTGGTGTCGAAGCCGCAGATCTTAGCAACCTCCGGGCCCACGCCGTAGCGCTCAACCAGGTTCCGGGCGATCTCCAGGTCGACGAACCAGCCGTTGAAGGGGCAGCAGGGGTAGTCCACCCCGCCGATCCGCATGGTGAAGTTGTTGATTGCGGGGAGGGAGGTCCACTTCAGGCCCAACTTCGCGAGCTTGGGGTGCTCCGGGTGCGTGATGGGGATCTCGCAGAAGAGCTTGCGCGGGAGCTCGCGCATCTGCGGGTTCTGGCCCGGGAACTGCACAATCTGCGGTAGGGGGTCGAACTTTGTCCGCTTCGTCGGCGGCTTCCACCCAAACGTCTTCATCACCATCTCCGTGTACTTGACGTTGGCGGGGTCGCCCAGGACACTACCATCCTCCTGCACGTAGCCGGCGTACCTACAGAACTGATGGTTCCAGAAGCGAATGCCCCACTGTTCGTGCGGCTTCTTGGGCGCGAAGATGGTCATCGTGGACTGCACGATGCCTCCTCCAGCGGCGACCTTCAGATGTTCCTCGCACTCCTCGAAAACCTGATTTGCGCAGGTCACGTGCCTGCAGTCGCGGATGACCAGCGTATCCCACGCGATTCGGCCGGGGCACTTCGCGGAGTTGCGCCAAGCCTGCCGGGCGCCGGCCTGCAGCTCGTGGGTGGTGTGCCTCGTCTGGAATTCGAATTAGTTTCGATATCAAATACTCCATCAAATAACAGACACTATAAAATGATTCCCTGCGTGGAGCTCCCCTTATGTGCATATTATTTATGGACGCTTCCGCCGTGAGTGTCTATGCGCAAGAGTTTTCTGATATAAACCAGGTCGATGTATAAACAGGATCTCGCATGGTTGACTGCGAGTGTCAGTCTAAGTATGAGAGAGTCTGAGCACGAGTGGGTCCGAGAATGCGTAGGTCAGAATATGAGCGAGTCTGAGTGGGAGTGGTCAGAGTGTGGGTAAGTCTGGGTGCGAGTCTAAAAACATGTTTATATGAAAAATATGTGGAAACAGTTTAAAAATTGTTTTCCCCAGTGCTGTAGTGCGCCTATAGAAAACAAAAAGGAGGCGGGGCAAGGTGGATCGCTGGAGACGTCCCCGCGACCGCCCTGGCGCCCTGCGTGCAGGGGCAGATTCCTGCGCACCCCCTCTTGGCGTCAAGCCACGCCCACCACGCCCTGCGACCCCAACGTGGATAGAGACTGCGCTCAGGGACCACTCCCTGCGCACCGCGCACCCTGTCTGGGTTGCGAAGCGGCACTGAATATGCAAATGCGGCACGCCGCTGGTAGATTTTATACAACGGGTGCGATGTTTAACTCCAAAACCCAATGGCGAAAACCCAATGTACAAATTCATCTTCTGATCGGAAGACGGGAACATCACAATGTGGGTATACGACAGCGAATGCAAAAATGCCAAGTGCGCGGCGGCGGCATGCCGCTGATAGATTTTATACAACGGGACGAGAGTTCGCGCGCGCGCGGCGGCGGCATGCCGCTGATAGATTTTATACCACGGGACGAAATTGGATCTCCAAAACCCAATGGCGAAATCCCAATGTAAAAAATCATTCTCTGATCGGAAGACGGGAACATCCCAATGTGGATATACGACACTGAATGCAAAAATGCCAAGAACCAGCGAGCGCGCGCGCGGCGGCGGCATGTATACAACGGGAGCCATGTTGAACTCCAAAACCCAACGGCGAAAACCCAATATAACAAACCATTCTCTGATCGGAAGACGAGAACATCCTCATGTGGATATGCGACACTGACTGCACAAATGCCAATCGCCAACGCGCGCGCACGCGCGCGCGCGGCGGCGGCATGCCGCTGATAGGTTCTATACAGCGGGAGCGAGGTTGAACTCCAAAATCCAACTGCGAAAACCCATTGTAAAAATTCATTCTCTGATCGGAAGACGGGAACATCCCTATGTGGATATACGACACCGAATGCACAAACGCAAATCGCCAACGCGCGCGCGCGCGGCGGCGGCATACCGCTGATAGATTTTATACCACGGGGGCGGTGTTGAATTCCAAAACCCAATGGCGAAAACCCAATGTAAAAATTCATTCTCTGATCGGAAGACGGGACAATCCCCAACGGCATTCTCCCTGGTGCCGAGGTATATACACATGGCATCGATCGGCATCCATTGATTTTTTCCAGGGGGGACAGATAAAAATAGTTATTCGGGTGCGAATTAATGGCAGTCGGGATCCGGGGGGGTAATCATTTTGTTTTAATCTGACTACTGGTGAATGGGTGGGTCGGAGTTTGAGTGGTTCTCGGTATGTGCAAGCCTAAATGTGAGTGAGTCTGAGTATGAGTATGATGAGTATGAGTCTGAGTCTGAGTGGGTCTGAATACAAGTGAGTCTGACTACGAGTGAGTCTGAGGGTGGGTGAGTCTAAGTGTGAGTGAGTCTGAGTGTGTGTAAGTCTGGGTGTGAGTATCCTCCTCCTCCTCCGTCCCCTTCCCCCAATCATCAAGACGATCATCATCATCATTGATCATCATCATTATCATCATCATCATCGTCATCATCAGCATCAGCATCAGCATCAGCATCAGCATCATCACCAGCACCAGCACCAGCACCATCACCATCACCATCACCATCACCATCACCATCACCATCACCATCATCATCATCATCATCATCATCATCATCATCATCATCATCATCATCATCATCATCATCGTCATCGTCATCGTCATCGTCATCGTCATCGTCATCGACATCGTCATCGTCATCACCATCATCATCAGCAGCAGCATCATCATCATCGTCGTCATCGTGGTCGTTGTCGTCGTCATATCCATCATGAATAGGCGTGAGTCTGAGTGTGAGTGTCCCCCTCCTCCTCCTCCTCCTCCTTCTCCTCCTCCTCCTTCCCCTCTCCCATCATCATCGCGATCATCCTCATCATCATCATCAGCAGCAGCATCAGCATCATCAACATCATCATCATCATCATCATCATCATCATCATCATCATCATCATCATCATCATCATCATCATCATCATCATCATCATCATCATCATCATCATCATCATCATCATCATCGTCGTCGTCGTCGCCGTCGTCGTCGTCGTCGTCGTCGTCGTCGTCGTCGTCGTCGTCGTCGTCGTCATCGTCGTCATACCCATCATGCTGGTGTTCGTGGGGCCTCCTGGTGCTTCCTGGTGCTTCCTGGACCCTCTTGGGGACTCCAGGGGCCTCCTGGAGCCTCCTGGGGCCTCATGTGGCCTCCTGACACCTCCTTGTACTTCCTATGGCCTCCTGTAGCCTCCTGGAACCTGCTGGAACCTCCTGTGGCAGCCGAAGATCCGTGCCCACGAGTCTGGCCAGCAAAATAAGCAAACCGCTCGAGGTATCCTCAAACTCTGCCCCCCCTTGGGGGCGAAAATGAGCGCATCGCTCGAGACATCCTTCAAATCCGCTCCGAAAAAGAAGGATGTTGAGTCGCGAAACAGGCAAAACCGCTGGAGACATACATCCCCGCCATTCTGGCGCGAACGGGGGAGTGCAATATCCCCTGGCGGTTCCCCCTTGGGGGTGCTGAAACCCGCGAATCGCTCGAGGCATCCTCAGAATCTGTTCCGCCAGCATCATCATCATCATCATCATCATCATCATCATCATCATCATCATCATCAGCATCATCATCATCATCATCATCATCATCATCATCATCATCATCATCATCATCATCATCATCATCATCATCATCATCATCATCATCATCATCATCATCATCATCATCATCATCGTCGTCGTCGTCGTCGTCGTCGTCATCATCAGCATCAGCAGCATCATAATCAGCAGCATCGTCATCGATATCATCAGCATCAGCATCAGCACCAGCATCAGCATCAGCATCAGCATCAGCATCATCATCATCAGCAGCATCAGCATCATCATCATCAATATCAGCATTAACATCAGCATCAGCATCAGCATCAGCATCAGCATCAGCATCAGCATCAGCATCATCATCATCATCATCATCATCATCATCATCAATATCATCATCAGCAAAATAGGCAAACCGCTCGAGACACCCTCAAAATCTGCCCCCCCCTCCCCTTGGGGGGCGAAAACGAGCGCCTCGCTCGAGAGATCCTCCAAACCTGCTCCGAATGCGGAGGATGTTGAGTCGCGAAACAAGCAAAACGCGCGAGACGTTCCCTCCATTTTGGCGCGAACGGAGGAGTGCAATACCCCCTGGCGGTTCCCCCTTGGGGGTGCTGAAACCCGCGCCTCGCTCAAGAAATTCTCAGAACTTGCTCCGCCATCATCATCATCATCATCATCATCATCATCAGCAGCAGCAGCAGCATCATCATCACCACCGTCATCATCACGACCATATCATCATCAGCAGCATCATCATCATAAGCGGCATCATTATCAGCATCATCATCAGCATCATCATCATTAACAACATCATCGTCACCATCGTCATCACCACCATCATCATACCATAACATGGCGTAGCGTGACACAACACATCATAACACAACCTTACATGACACAATGTAGCATTACATGCATAACAGACCATACCATACCATATCATAGCATGCCATACAATTACCATACCATACCATACCATGACAGTGACATACCATTCCATACCATACCATATCATAACATTATTCACTGCGCGGAGCTCCCCAGATGTGTATATGTTAGCATGGACCTGTCCGCCGTGAGTGCCCAGGTGCAAGAGTTTTCGAATATAAACTGGTTTGAGTATTGACGGTCTGGGAGCGAATCTAACTGTGAATGGGTTGGATTGTGAATGAGTCTCAATACTATATTAATGCGCTTCTGGGGCTTCGTGGTGCCTCCTGGAGCCTCTTGGAGCCTCCTGAGCCTCTTAGGGCTTCCTGTGGCCTGGAGGCCTCCTGGAGCCTCGTGTGGCCTCCTGGGGCCTGCCGGAGCTTCCTGGGGCCTCCTGGGGAGGATGCATGCCCCAAGAAGAGCCCAATCTATAGGAACAGGCGTAAAACACTTCGGGTTGGAGCCACAGGAGAGGTGCAATCTACAGGAACAGATGTAAAGCACCAAGGATTCGTACCCCAGGGCAAGCCCGATCGATAGGAACATACGTAAAACACTTAGGAGTGGATACACAGGAGAAGGACCTGTGGCCTTGTGAGGCCTCCTGCTCCTGAGGCTTCGTGGGAGCTCCTGGAGCCTTCCAGGGCCTCCTGTGGCCGTTTCCTGCCGTTTCCTGCCGTTTCCTGTGGCCTCCTGTAGCCTCCTGGTGCCTCCTGGCGCTTCCTAGGGCCTCCTGGAGCCTCCTGGGGCCTCCTGGAGCCTCCTGGGGCCTCCTGGGGCCTCCTGTGGCCTCCGGGGGCCTCCTCGTGCCTCCTGTGGCCTCCTGGGGCCTCCTGGGGCCTCCTGGGGCATCCTGTGGGCTCCTCCTGGGACCTCCTGTGGCCTCCTGGGTCCTCCTGGGTCCTCCTGGAGCCGCCTGTGGCATCCTGAGCAACGTCCGTGCCCACGAAACTGGCCAGCAGAACAAACAAACCGTTCGAGACATCCTCGCAATCGGGGCCCGCTGGGGTGCGAAAGCCAGCGCCTCGCACGAGACATCCTCGAAATCTGCTCCGAAAACGGAGGAGATTGAGCTGGTCAA